ATTTAATTTTTTTAATTTATATAAAATTTATAATATTATATATATTAATTTATTTAACAACATGTAAAAATTATATTAAAAAATAACATAAAAAATTATCTCTATAATACTACCGAGTAAAATTAATCTCTAGCTCCGAGTGGGTAGAGCTTCATCTAGTTCTTGTCTGGGAGAATGAGACAAATCATTCCACTCAATGCGGTAGTAACTTCCATTCCCCACTTAATTACTGTCCACAGTACATACCAACGAGTGAAGCGAGTAGACCTGACAAACGGGTTAAATTAAGTTGATTTGGATTGAATCATCTTAAATCTTGAGTTTTTTGAATTGGGTTATTTTAAGTGTTAGATTGAAGAGGTAGATTCATGACTCATCCATACAAGTCTTGGATTAGATTAGGTAAACTCAATTTTTAAAAAATTAAAATTAAAATTAAATTTTTTTTATTTTTTTTTAACAAAGTCTAATACTAATTAATTATTTAGTGAAAAAACTTTATTAATCGTTAATTTTTATTTTATAATTCAATTTTCATTCCAATTTCAAAAAAAGAAAATGAAAATATTACTAATTATATAAGTGAAACTAAAATATATGTCAAATATATAATGCCTATATAATATTTAGAATTTATAATTTCACAAATGCATGAACTTTCGTTAAAAAAAGAGACATGAACTTTCGTTAAAAGAAAAGACATGAACCTTCATTAAAAGAAGAGGTATAAATTTTCATTAAAAAAAGAGACATGACGTATTAGAGTTCAAAAGACAAATCTAATATATATGTAATATCTAGTGTCTATTCAATATTTATAAAGCATTATACAAAAAATACAATTTTATTCAATATTTAGAAAGGTATTATACAAAAAGTATAATCTTATTCAATATTAAAGTTTAAAAGGTAAATTTAAAATATGTTTAAAAAAATACAAGAAGAAATTGAATCGGGATTGATTTTTATTAACTAGGAACAAATTATTAATTAAGAACAAATTAGTAATTTAGAACAAATTAGTAATTTAGAACAAATTAGCAACTAAGATCAAATCTTAATGTTTTTGATGTTCTTGTCATTGTGCTTCTAATGATTGATGAGAGTTTCTCAACTACTGGTTTTTGATTTTTAGTAGCATTCTTGGTTTCTATTTTTCTTTTTAAAAAAATTGACAATGTGATATAACTCATTATGTACCACATAACTTGATTTTTAACGCAAGTATCACAAAAGAGAAGGATTAAAGAGCTTGAGATGAAGAAGGAGAGAATAAGAGTGGAGAAAAAGAAAAGTTGAGAGAAAGAGAAGCTGAAATGAGGTTAAAATTTGGGTATTTTATTTATTTTTACTTTTAATATGAAGAGATTAGAAATTTAAAATTATTTTTTAAATAATCTAATAATAAATAAATAAATAAATAAAAGTTCATGTTATTTCGGGTGACTTGACCCACGTGTAACCCAACCTATTTAGATTCAGATAATTTCAATATGGATTATTTTGGATTTCAAATTGACACATAAAACCTATCACCTTACTCAGAACGGATGGGTTAGATCAAATTTTCAAATTTGATTCAATTTTGTTAGGTTTAGAAGCGAGAGTATAAATGGACAATACAAAGATCGATGTGTTTTTCACCTTTTTTTTTTCTTAAGCAAATTAAAAACAAATATAATAAATCATAGGTATAACGTCAATTATTAAATTAAGTGCAAACTTCTTGGGATAAATCTGTCAAATCTGATAGTTTGTGATGTCCAATCTTTGGTGGTATAATGACCACCCTCTTGAAAGAGTGCAATGGACATGTTGGTTTGGCTTCAAATCCCAAACCCTACAATCCCCTTCCCCTAAAAATCTCCCTCTGTTCAAAAAAAAAAAAAAAA